TGGGCAAGGGGTCTGCTAACTTATTAATGGGGATACTAGGAGTTTAGACTATAGTTCCTGAAAGCCCATGGTATAAGAACACTGCTCCACACAAGGGCTGCCCCCCCCCCCCCAGCATCATGAGACACAACAACTGGGTAGGTATATTACCAACACTATCTACGATAATAATATTAATAATGAAAATAAGGGACGGTGGCAGATTACCTAGTTTTTGACTTGGGCCTCCCCTACCTAAATCTTGTAAACCAACGTAATCTCAGCTTCCCTTTGGCTCTCCGTTTGATGCTCCATTAGTGATAGCACTTTGATTCTCCACTATTGCCATAAACCCTACACCCTAAACCCTCTGCACCCGCAGCACTTTTAATGTCTTCTCTTGCACTCCCAAGAAGCCTCAACGTTTGCCGACGTCTTCACTGCCTCTTGCGGCCTCACCTGCTGTTAAGCTCCGGGTCGATGTATGCAAACAGCATACACGAAATAATCCATGAACCCTGGACCCCATTTTCCACACGTTTCCAGGGACCCTGAGGGCTAGAGATGCACACGGGGCCTGAGGAGTCCCTACAAGTAGGGAGAAGCACAATAAGGACAGGAGAACAGTAATCCACCCGATAGGACCGGTGATGGAAGCAGGAAGCAAAAAGAATTGCCAGGAATACTACCTAGACCCCAAAAGTAAGTCAGCGAATGGCTCAAAACCCATACAGCATGAGTCAACAGATCATGTTTCTATACTCTTTTGGGTCTAGGTCGTCAAAAATGACTCAGAAGGGGCTAAGATTAACCAAGTACTTGGGAGTCCGGCAACCGTCACAATAGTGAAGGCTTTGGGTGACTACATGTTAAGCACTTGAACCCATAAGGTACAGTGAAAGACAAGCACACAGGGCTGAATATGCTATACGGGCCTTCTATACCCCATACTTCCCAACCCCATCCCCGAAAGGGCTTATTACATTTCATAGGCCACCCCTCCTCCTTGTCGCCCACTTCCAATGAGCCTGCATGTAGTAGCACAGAATCAGAGGCGCAATAGCAGACTGTGGAACCCTTAAAACCTCAACCTTGAACCCCAATTCCCAAATCCTCTAAACCCCAAACCTCCCTGCGGCGATGGTTTGCCTCCTGTGGCTTCGCCGCTGGCTTGGCATCCTTGGAAAAAAATCCTAAGGGTCTAAGTATCCAAATATTGGGGTCTTAAAGGGCTATGGGGACATATCAGGGTATCTAGAGGGATATCTGGGGATATTTAAGGAGATACAAGGGTTTAAGGCTCCAAGTACCCCAATAGTCAGGCTTCAGGTTATCAAAACCTCAACATTCGGTTTGGTGTCGTCCTTGTTGTACTTCTTTGCGACCCTTCAGGGCCCAGCGCAGGTATTATTCTAAGACTTAGATCCCCAGGGCCCAGGGCTTTGTTCCAGCAAGCTAAAAAACCCTAGATCTCGTAAAGCGATGGGGTACTTTTAGCAATACCCTAAGGGTCCAAGGATCCAGATGATAAGGTTTTAGGCCCTAAATACTACAATGTTCATGGTATTGGGGCCCTATAACCCTATTATTTGGGTCATTGGACCCTCAGGGAATAATTGTGCGAAAGGCTGGTGCGGAGTATATGATCATTCGATACTTGGGTTGATGCGGCATTTTCACGTCGGACATGATGAAACTCAGTGTCTTGAAAACATCTGTGACCTGGACGTCTAAGGACAAAAGCTCATCATGTAGTGCCTTGAACATGTTTTCAAAGCTAATGGGGGGTTCTGATTAGTAAGCCCCCAAATTACTATATTGGGGAAACCCTAGTGTTTACTATATACACCCATATCACTATCATGGTGGCATCTGCCTAGCCCTGTGTGCCAGAGCCTACACTCAGACTCAGGCACCAAGGTTCCCGAAATAGGCTTCCCCCCTACATAAAATGATCTTTACGATGGAGACTCCCCAAATACCTTGGATACTCAAAAACCTGCATTATAACTTGGGATTTTTTGGGTGTAATATATGAAGGTCATGCAGCATTTTAGTATCAACACTAGCGCCCTTCAGCTTCTGCAAGCCTACTCCCCATTTACGGGCGAGCTTTGCAAGCAGACACGGAACAAGCAAGCACTGAGGTCTCAGAGCAAAAAGATGCTCAGGTACCAAATGTCCATGAGGGCCAAGGCAAGAACATGTTGAGCGTGAAGGGTTGAGGGTTTAGGGAGACAGGAAAAAAGCAAATGGAAGATGGAATGGACAATGAAACTGAAACTTTATAGGGTTGTTGGTACCTGGAACCCAAGTATGTAGAGAAATAAACTTAGTTGACTATTATTACCGATGTCCGGGCACTCTCAATATTGAATAACGCATGTTACTGGACAAGGGACTTGAGACAGTTATAGCAGTGCAATTTTGTCTTTCCAAATAAAACATGGACAAGATACTGGGAGCTACCATTTCATGCAGTAGCCTCTAGCTTCTTGCTGTGCAGTACCCTACGCCCTGAACCACAAACCTGAAACACATCCAAAGCTCACCTGCAGGATGAGTCTGTTGCACAGAACGTAAAATGTACTTGGTTCCTTATTGGTTAGGTGGACCCCCCCCCCCACCCAGTAATAGTGACTACAAGGGATAATAAGGATTATATTCGGGTCCCCTTATATTCTTATTATACCACTATTACAGGGTGGGGGGTCCTCCTAACTTGTTGGGTCAATATTCCTGGTAGTGCTGAAGTGAATTTGAAGGGAGAAGAACTGTAATCATCCATAGCCAGGATAGATTTAGGTAGTTCCCAAAATTAGGGGTACCTTTTTGGAGTCCCTATAATAAGGACTATAGTATATTGGTTTCTATATTGGGGTCCCCTTACTTTGGGAAACTACCATTTAGGGCCTTCTGAAAGGATACTGCGTCAGCACACTCATCAGTGTTCCTAAGATACACTCACCAAAATCAAAACAACATAGCAATCTCACATCACATCAGTTCTCTTCTTGTAGAAAGCGGGGGCCCCGAATTGGTTTAAAGAATTGACGATTGCAAGCTTCCATTGGCTGAGGCTGGAAAAGCTCATAGGACCCATAGTCTACACTCCTAGTATCCCCTTAGTAACCCCTGCACTAGTCCCCTACAGAATCCCCTCTAGAGCCCCCTTTAAGGAGTTTAGACTACAGCTCGTATCGGAGCCACTCTAAACCCGAGCGACCCGAACCCCAAATCCAAACTAATATGGCACCCCCATGT